TGCGGGCGGACCGGGCTGCGCGGGCCGTGCTCCTCCCCGGGGACGGGGCGACGTGCGGCGGCCCCGCGGCCCTGTGCCCTCCCTCCCGGACGGCCGCGCTGCGGGAGGGACGGCGCCCGGCGCGGCCTCGCCCGTCTGCTGCCGGGAAAGGACCAGGAGGGCGCCCCGGGACCCCCGCGACCCCGCAGCCGGCCCTGCGGATTCCCGTCGGCCCCTCGGTCATCTGAGAGGAGCTCGGGCCCCGTGGCGGGAAGTCCCGCCCCATCCGTGTCCGCCTCGCAGTGGCCCCGCCCCCGTCCCGCCCCCTCCGTGTCCGCCTCGCAGTGGCCCCGCCCCCTGTCCCGCCCCCTCCGTGTCCGCCTCGCAGTGGCCCCGCCCCCGTCCCGCCCCCTCCGTGTCCGCCTCTCAGTGGCCCGCCCCTGTCCGCCCCTCCGTGTCGCCTCGCAGTGGCCCCGCCCGCCCCTCCGTGTCCGCCTCTCAGTGGCCCCGCCCCCGTCCCGCCCCCTCCGTGTCCGCCTCGCAGTGGCCCCGCCCCCGTCCCGCCCCCTCCGTGTCCGCCTCGCAGTGGCCCCGCCCCCGTCCCGCCCCATCCGTGTCCGCCTCTCAGTGGCCCCGCCCCCGTCCCGCCCCCTCCGTGTCCGCCTCGCAGTGGCCCCGCCCCCTGTCCCGCCCCCCCGTGTCCGCCTCGCAGTGGCCCCGCCCCCGCCCTGTGCCCCCCGCCCCCCCCCCTCCGCGTCCCGGACAGTTGCGCCCCGGGTCGGTCACCCCTCGCTGCGTGGCCGGAGGCGGCCTGACACGCGGGTGTAGGGACCGTGTCCGCCGGGCGGAGCCCTTTTGACTCTTTCAGGAGCCGGAATCTCGTCCCCGTCCGGCCCCCCGAGGGCTCCGTCCCAGTCCCCGCGCCTGCGGGTCCCCGCGGCCACCTCTCCGCCTCCGCCCGCACGTCTCGGCTCGGCCCCGTGGGTGGCATCCAGGCGCCGTCCCTGCCCCCCGCCCCCGGCCGCCCCTCTCGAGGCTCTGGGCCCAGCGCCGCGCCCAGGCCGTCTCCCTGCCCTGCTCCTGGGCCCGGTCGCCGCCCGGCCCCCAGATCCTCACGAGCCGGCGGCAGGGGCCGGAGGGCGGCGAGCGGGGTGCAGCCGGGGGGGGGTGCCCGCGGGGAGGTGAGCGAGGGGGGACGGGCCCGGCCTCCCCGCCTCCTGCCCGCTGCCCGGTGGCCCCGCTGCCCGGTGTGGCCCCGCTCCAGCCCCGCCCCCGGGTGCCCTCGCCGTCGGCGGGTCCCTGCACCTTGCGCCCCGACCGCTTCCTCCTGATGCGCCCCTCGGCCTGAGACAGACGCCAGCCACGCGGGAAGGGCCCTACGTGCCTGTTACTTGAAGAGGTTCAACGTGAAAGATAGTTTTGCTCAAAGGATTTTTATTGAGAATGTTCTTGGGGGAATAGCTCATACCTCGTTGAAAGGGCAGGGTTTGGGGGCCCCCGGGGGCTCAGCGGTTGGGCGTCTACCCTCGGCCCAGGGCGTGACCCCGGGTCCTGGATCCAGGCCCGCATCGCGCTCCCCGCAGGGAGCTGCTCCTCCCTCTGCCTGGGTCTCGGCCTCTCTCTGTGTCTCTCAGGAATACATAAAATCTTTTTTTTTTTTTAAAAAAGGGCAGGGCTTTATGGGTTGTTGTTTTTTTTTTTTTTTTTTAATTTTAAACATGAGCAGCAAGGTGTCAAAATGCTTGAAAGCGGTTTTGTGTTGGGGAAAGCGCTTCACTGGGCACAGAAAAGAAGCAAACCGAGAGAAGGAGTAGAATCGACAGAAAACTCCCCTCAGCGTGTGAGCTACAGCCCCTTCCCGGTGCCCGGGACTCGCATGGTTCCTGCCGGGGGCGGCGGGCGCTCTGCCGAGGAAGGTGGGTTCCTGACGTCTTGGGGTTTGCTTGTAACAGCTCGAGAGGACACGGATTCCGAGTTTCTTTCCTCAAGAGGCTGAAGCAGGGAAAGCAGAAGTCCAGTTAATTTATAAGCGGCGCTTGCCGTGCCCTCTGCCGGCCCCTGGGGGCTGCCATCGCCTTCCCGGTGGCCCCGAGGGGCTGGGACCAAGGACCTGCCCCAGGTGGGCGGCAGCAGCAGAGTGGCGCAGCGGGAGCGTGCTGGGCCCATAACCCAGAGGTCGATGGATCGAAACCATCCTCTGCTACCTGCTCTTCTTTTCCTGGTGGTACCCCAGGCCCTCCTGTCACTCCCGGGCCCCTTCCACGGCCCCATCCGGGTGTGTGGCATCCATGGCAGCAGCCGGTCCCATGGTGTAATGGTCAGCACTCTGGACTCTGAATCCAGCGATCCGAGTTCAAGTCTCGGTGGGACCTGTACAATCGGTCTCCCTCCCCTGGCTCGTCTTTTGATCCCCACTTTGGTTTCCCTTCTTCCGGCTGCACTCAGGCCAAGGGTGACGCCGCAGTGGCCCCAGCGTCTTGTGGTTCTGTGGTGTAATGGTCAGCACTCTGGACTCTGAATCCAGCGATCCGAGTTCAAGTCTCGGTAGAACCTGCCTCACCTGTGGCCCTTTTGTGCACCCCCCGCCAGTCCCCAGTCCTGTGCGATGCCACCGTCACCAGGATGGTCCGTACCTTCCCAGATCGGGTTCCCCTCTTTCGGGCTCCGGTGGAGAGCCTGGCTGCAGCCCCCTTTTTCTCCAGTGGCTCCTCCGTGGCCACCTGTCCCCCACCTATTCCTTGTGTGTCCAGGCAGCCAGGCCCCCTCGCCCTGCGCTCGGCTGCCTGCGTCTTAGAGGACGTGGTCTGGTGCGGGGGCTGACTCTGAGACCTCCGGTTCTCCCAACCTGCCTTTGAGGTGCCCGGGACTCCCCGCTCCCACCCCTAGGCACCCCTCCCCAGGGGCCCTCCAGGCGAGGACCGTCGAGCTGGGTCGTATGGGCGGCTCCCAGAGCTCCTGCTGCTTCCCCAGAGCGAGCACCTCAGGGCCCTCCTCATCTCCGTCTTTTTAACACCCACTTCCTCTCTAGCTCCGCTTTAAAAAGGGGAGACCGAGAGGGGCGCGTCGTGTCGCAGCCGAGGAACCGCTGCCTTCCTTGGTTAGAGCGGACTGAAGGGTCAGTAAGGGGCGGGGAGCCTAAGTCTGCGTCTGCCTCCCGTGACCTTGGGCAGACCCCGCCGCTCCCCGGGTGCATTCCAGCTCGGCTGCCCCAGAGTGATTTCAGGCCTGGCCCGCGGCTGTGGGAGCCTGGGCCTCGGCCGCCTCCTTCCGTCCTCCCCTGGTCTGTTTGGGGCCCAGGTGGGGGCCCCGAGGAGACTCCCCCCCCCCCCGTAGCCCGAGGACTCCCCGTGATCTGCTGCGGGTGCCTCTCATCTGCGCAGGACTGCTTGGATACAAAAGTGCTTAACCATCGTCCTCCAAGGAGCTGTTGGGTGCTGCAGGTGGTTCACCCGTGACGCAAACGTCCTAAGGAACCTTGTTCCCGGGGCACCTGGTGGCTCAGCGGTGGAGCACCTGCCTTGGGCCCAGGTCGTGACCCCAGGGTCCCGGGATCGAGCCCCGCATCGGGCTCCCCGCAGGGCGCCTGCTTCTCCCTCTGCCTGGGTCTCTCAGGAATAAAAATGTAAAAAAAAAACGTGGTGGTTGTACTTGTCCGCTGGGCTGCCGTGCGCGGCGCTGCTCGGGAACGCTTCCCCAGAGCGAACTGCCAACTGCTCGAGGGGCCTGCTCTCCTCACGGACCCAGGAGCGAACGTGTAGGTCTGTGCTTATCCGTGCGTGAGCGTGTGAGTGCTCAGAAGTGTGTGTGCATAGGCGTACGTGTGCATGGGCGTGGACGTGGATTCAGTTTTATTTTTTTTTAAATTTTATTTATTTATTTATGATAGTCACACACACAGAGAGAGAGAGAGAGAGAGGCAGAGATACAGGCAGAGGGAGAAGCAGGCTCCATGCACCGGGAGCCCGACGTGGGATTCGATCCCGGGTCTCCAGGATCGCGCCCTGGGCCAAAGGCAGGCGCTAAACCCCTGCGCCACCCAGGGATCCCCGTGGATTCAGTTTTAAAGTAAGATTTCCACCCTGGCACCGGCTCCTCTTGTTTTTGAAACGTCTGGCTTATCCTCATTCAGAAATTAAGTGCCAGCCTGTCCCAAAGGGACACCCGCGCTCTGCTTCCCTGAGCGGGAGAGCCGAGGCTCCGTGGCCGTGGCCGTGGCCATGGCCAGGTGCTCCGCCTCGGGCTGCCTGCGCCAAGCCAAGGCAGGGAGGGAGCCGGGTGGGCTGCCCGCCTGGGCCGCGGCTCCTCCCCTCCCCTCCCCTCCTCCTAGTGGTCTCTACACTTCGGGCCAGCAGCCCAGGCCGCAGAGCACCCTGCGACTCGCCCCACACCCTCGGCCGGCTTCAACCTGGAGGTGTAGGCAACAGGAATCCCAATCCCCCTCGTGCAAAGCTGAGGAAGGGCCAGTGTCTACACTGGCAGGAACCAGCTCAAGCTCTAAGGCCAGGTGGAAATGGAATAAAAAACCCAGGCTCTGGTCTGGTCCGGAGCAGGGCAGGGGGGCGCAGAGCCACTCACCACCATGGCCAACACGCACACAGACCTGCTGGGCTCGTTCACGGTCCATGGAGCACGAGTGGGACCGCGACTCCACTGGGCGTGATGCGAGTCAGGACCCACCCCACCCTCCGCCTCGCTAGGACAGACACGCTGTGTGTGTCACCCAGCCCACACGGGGCCGCCCTGCTCTCTGCGCGGACGGCTGGAGGCCGGAGTCAGGACGAGCCCCGCTCGCCGGGGGCAGCAGCTGGTCTGTCAGCCGGGTTCTGGCACCGCAGGCCCTGGCTGTGGCTGGACGGGCTACTCTTGACGGAGGAGCAGCGACCGCACAGCTGGGTGGTGGCCTCCTAGGCGCCTTGGGGACAGAGGCCAGCGCTCCTGCTCCAGGCTGGTGTCACCGGGGAGGGGTCAGCCCAGGGGACAGCACACCGGCCCTGGCGGGGAGACCACTGCACACGCTCGGACACGTTCTCCAGCTGTTTATTCCCTCATCGGTCACTGTGGAGGAGAAGCCCTGACTACGGATATATTGAAAGAAAGAGAATCGCACACAACACCCAGCTATGGCCCGGGCAGGGACAACACGACACGGAACACAACAGACACAGAGCCTGCAGGGGCTGCACGGAGGGCTCTGGGGCAGCAGCGCCACCACCGCTACCACGGTCCAGGTGCTTCGAGACCAACTCCAGGCCGTGCGTGGAGGTCTGTCACTTCAAGGACAAGCCCCGACGTGAGCGGCCTGTGCCTCTCCAGCGGCTTCGGCCCCGTCTGTGGGTGAACAGCCTCGCGTGCCCCTCAAGGCGTGCTCACAGGGGGCAGGGCCGGGCAGGAAGGGAGGGACTGCAGTGACCCCCCCCCCGGCCCCTCCTCCTGGGGCGGCACCCCTGCCAGGCCTCGTCGGCCCCAAACAGCTGAATGGAAAGTGCGCATCTGGGGCCAGGACACCGCGGGCCTGAGGCCTGGTCGCTGGCAGCCCAGCAGCGAGGAGCGAGGCCACCGTCACCAGGTCTGCGTATCAGCCCGAGTCCAAAACGATGCAGTGGACGCAGGTTCTGGCAAAAGCCTTTCAGGAGTAAGTGGCCAGTGCCCCACACGCCCTGCGGCCACGTGCCTCCTGCCGTCTCAGCCGTTTCCTCGTCCACTGCTCTGAGAGGCCCGTGAACCGGACCTTCCGGACACTTTTTGGATTTTTTTTTTTTTAAGCCTAAAAGATAGTAGTTTGTCTTCATTCTTGTTCTTTGGGATATTTTTCAGTCTTAAGATAAAAGGATACTTAAACTGGGGCAATCCTTCTCGTGTCAAGATATTCCAGCCATACACACGTCACGACGTTAGCACCACATCAAACCGAGTGATGGGGCCACCAGCAACCAGGGGCAGAGACTCCTGAAAGCTGTGGAGCCGAGCGTTTGCCCCCAGTGTCTCTGCTCCCAGGCTCCGCGGCGCCTCCCTCCGGGCGGTCGACCTTTACCACTTGATATCTCGGCTGAGCGCGGGGAGCCCGGGCCCCTGGTACTTGGTGTGCAGGGCCTCCTGGGCTCGGGGCGAGTCGGCCCCGTCCAGCCACTCCTGGTACAGCTCCTGCACGTGGGCGCTGTTCTCGGGGGGCCGCACGGGGATGTCCGCATAGATGCCCTCCATCTGCCGCAGCAGCGCCTTGTCCGCGCACCCGTCCTCAGTCTGGGCTTGGCCTCTGCCATTTAAACATCCTGAAAAACAAGCAGGGAGCTTATTCTTTTCCTCCTTTTGCTTTATTTTTTTTTTGATTTTTTAAATCTTTTTTTTTAATTTTTATTTATTTATGATAGAGAGAGAGAGAGAGAGGCAGAGACACAGGCAGAGGGAGAAGCAGGCCCCATGCACCGGGAGCCCGACGTGGGATTCGATCCCGGGTCTCCAGGATCGCGCCCTGGGCCAAAGGCAGGCGCCAAACCGCTGCGCCACCCAGGGATCCCCCTCCTTTTGCTTTAAAGGGATGGTTTTGGGGCAGGAACGACGGCAGCAGGCGGCAGCGTGCTGCCCAGGCCAGAGCTCTGGGGCCTCCAGTGCTTACCTACGTGTGGCAGACGGGCAATGGTTTTTACCTAAAGTGGGGTGAGCTGCCAACCTCTCAACCTCTCGACCCAGAGAGCAGGGGCGGGCCACCGGGCAGCCACACCCCTGGGGTCTCACAGAGCCTCTGGCACCTCCCAGGGAGGGGTGGCCCCCCAAGCTCCGCCCCTGGGAGCGGTACTCCTCCCAGGTCTGCGGCTCACTCTTAGGCTCCCAGGTGTGTAGACTGAGGTCATGACCCAGAACCGGCGGCTAGTCTCCACCCTGGCCGAGCCCCTCTCCACGCATCCTGGGCAGCGCCCACCAGCTACACGTCCGACCCTGCTGGTTCTCCCAAGGTCCGCCCCCCTCTCCAGACCTTCAGCCCCGGGCTCCCCCAGATGTAGGCACCGGTGAGTCTACCCAGCTGCCACCCATGGCTCGGGGGCTGGAACCCTCCCCCTGCACTGTGGGCCCAGCTCACCCAATGAACCTCATCCTCACCTGGTCTGCTGCTCCGCACCCCGCACGCCCTCCCCAAACGCCAGCAGGTTTTCACCCTGGCCCTGCCTCCACTCCCCAGGCCAGCTTCAGTCGTGTGGGGCTCCCCGTCTGCAGAGCCCAGGACCCTCTCCCGACACCCGCACCTACTGTACCCACACGTCTCTGGCCTCCGTTTGGGACCCCTGCCCTGGTGCCTCCCGCTGGCCTCCGTGTCTCATGTGGGTCCCCCTGCCACCCGGGGCAGAACCTGGCAGCAGGTGGGGCCATCTAACCAGGAGCAGGCTCTCACCTGGTGCCCCCAGCAGCGGCTCTTCACTGGGATTGTGATCCCAAGGTTTCCTAAGGGGACCCCTGGTTTTCCTGCCACGCGGTGAGGGACGCAGAGCCACTGTGTCACAACCACCAGGGCAGCACCCGCGGTCCCACCCAGCTGTCAGCTGAGTGAGGCTTGGGGGCCCCTAGGGCCCGTCTCCTAGAGGGCTGTGGGGGGCACACTCCCGCCCAGACCCCACGTCTTACCCCCCGCGCAGGCGAGCACCTCCACGAAGTGGTACGGGAACCTGCCTTTCTTCAGTTTCAGAACCACGTTCTGGATGTTTCGGAAGCCGTACGCAGCAGCGAAGCGTAACAGAACCTCCCCGTTCTTTTCAAGGGTCACCTCCTGGAAGTCTTTGTTCCTGGAAGACGAACAAAATGGACTTTGATCTACAGAGTCCTTCCCCTGTGGCTGACAATCGTCTTCCAAGCTAAGTTTGAAAGTTAGCAAACTGAAGTCTGTGAATAAGAACAAGGCTTTTAGGTCTTGGCTCTTCTAAAGCCTATAAATAGGACAGCCCCCGACCCCCACCCCCTTGCACGGCCACGCGCGCCCACACACGCCCGCCCTGTGCCCTGGACAGAGCGCCGACCGCACTCGCAGACCTCAGGGTGCGGTAGGTGACCTCCCCCACGTCCTCGTCAAACAGCTGCTTGGCTGCGTGTCTGAAGACGTGCGCCAGGTACCCGTCGGAGCTGGCTCCGTCGTGGCGCCTCACCTCCTCCTCCTTCAGGCCTCCAAACCTGGCCAGGTGGAAGAGCAACAGCAAGCATGAAGTCAGGTTCCAGGTTTATGATCCCCACGCAGAGGAACTCCTTTACAGGTATTTAGACTTTGAGTTTTCCCCCATCAACACGAGCCATCACCTGGGGCCTCAGATCGCGAGGCCCGCTCGGCGTGCGGCCTGGTTACTCCCTCCTCTGCTGCGCCGGCATCCGCGTGTCCCCAGAACAACCTCGACGCTGGGGGACAGAGCCGGGACTCTGAGGGCCACCCGGGGGCACATGCACGTGCCCCACTGGGGACAAGGACAAGCACAGGCTCTGGCCACAGGCTCTGAAGCCAAGGAAATTCCAGACACCTCCGTGAAGCTTCCACACAAGGGCCATGACTGCTAAGCGGCCCACGTCTGCCGTGCGCGGAGCCCGAGGCATACATGGGGTGGCGGCAGCGGTCATCGGTCGGATCACCAAGACGGCAGAACCCTGGCCCGCTGTTCTTGGCACGAAGGGCCTCGAGGGAGCTGCTCTTCCCCAGAGGGGACCCGGCCTCAGGCTGGCCCGGACGCCAAGGCCAGGAACACGCGAAGTTCAGGAGTGGGGGTGCGGACACATACACATCCCCGCGGCAGCCCCGGCACCCACACTCCCAGCGCCAGCTCCGCTCACCGGGGCCCCGCTCACGTTCCACTGGGGACACGGCTGAGGGTCATGGTGGGGGCTGAGCCGCGACACGGGAAGTGGCAACCCCAGGTCGGGGCCCCCCGCCACCCCGTCTCTCTGCCGCCCACAAGGGGCCCCTCCCTGCAGAAGTCACTCACACAGTGTCGACGGCAGCATCCTTCACCGTGAGGTCACTTTGCTCCATTATTTGAGCGATTTCACCTACAGACAAATGAGGCGTAAGGACATGCCAATAGGACATCGCTTCCTCGGGAGCTGCTTCCAAAATCACGTCCCCACTGGAGATTCTGTAAGGTGACCTTGGCCACGGTCACTCTGCGGAGGGCAGGAACCCATCTCTAGTGCAGGATGACGCTAATGTGTGAAAACTGATAAAACGTAAGAGAAGAGTCCAATTCCTCCCTCCGCTCTTGAAACCAGGGATTTTGCAAATTCTCTCTCCACGTCTTTGTTTCTGAAGCAGAAATCTTGTGCCTACAGCCTCCCGTGGCCAGATGACCAAGACACAGTGGCTGCATTTATTACGTGGGGAACGGGATGTGCAGCGGTGGGCTGAGAGTCAGAACCACTTTCCTACTTCCCTTTACATGAGGGCCCCCAGAAACCCTTGCTGGAAACAACGAACGTTTCTACCAACCGCCGTGGCATCGTACTCGCACGAGAAAACTCAACATGTGAGAAATGTAGTAAAATGGACTCTGCATCCAAGAGGGAGGCCTGCATATGGTCCTCACGAAAACCCACCCTTTGGCAGGTGTGCGCATGCCCTCCTGTGTCCCTTCCACGGCGCCTGTGCGCTGGGGGCCCTTCCAGGGGGTCCCCGTGCTGGAGGCTCAGGTCAGGGGATCTGCACCCGGAGTCATGGCTCCTACAGGGTGCGGGGGCCCGTCTTCAGAGCCCGTGTGAAGTACACCTCGCACGGGTGTAGCCCACCCATGCCGCCTCGTGACTGCAGCGTCCCGCTGCGCTCCTGGGGGCGCAAGGGAGCCACCTGCACTCGTGCACACAGAGGCCCTGTTGTGGGCTCTCGGCCTATGTGCAAGCGCAGGGCACAGTGCAGGGGCTGCCGGCAAGGTCATTGCAGCACCACGGGTCCCCTGACTCCAAGTGAAAGGGGCTCACTGTGTTGCCAGGCGCACGTCTGGTTCGTCGGCAGAGCCCCCGCTCACCCGGACCCCAAGCTGTGCGAGCGCTGTCCCTCTCCACTTCCCTGCAGTCAAGCCCTCGGGATCCTGTCGTGACCCCAGAGGACGACCGCCAGAGGCCCCAGGAGCACCCAGGCCCCCTCACCTGAGGTTAATACGCAGTCAGCACCCCGGAAGCCATGTGGAGCGGTGGGGAAGTCTTCTCGAAGGGCCTCCAGTTTCTTATCGTAGCAAGGAGCCACAATAACATGGAAAATCTTGTCTGGGGACAGGTTCTGGGGAGAAAGAGCAAACCCGGTTTGCGGCTGTGGGCAAACGGGCAGCTGCAGGCTGGTGCCTCCTCAAGGGCGAGGCCACGCGGGCTCTGCGCCCAGCAGGAGGGCAGCATCAGGTCTACGCGTGGTGCCGCCTCGCTTCCCCCAGAGCCTGGAAGGTCCATGGCCTGGGGACGCCAGGGCGGGGCTGCAGGGAGCTTCCCGCAGACCCTGAGCCGGATCGGCAGCCACACCAGGGGCTCCTGTGTGGAGGGCAGAGCCTGAGGACGGTGCCCATCTGCTCGTCCGCCCATCCGCAGGTCCACAGGACCGCTTACCCTCTAGGGCTGGCAAACTCCTGGACCCCCTCAGTAAGGGGGTAAGCACAGGATGAAGCCCCACAGCTCATTTTTCTGCCCGCCCCCCCCCACCGTGAACAAGGATGTCAAAGGCATGTGGCCTCTTGAAGCTGGCCCTGGGCCTGTGGGACCCTAGTTTCGCTCTGTTCCCAGTTTCTGCAGGGCCACACCTCACTGGTTCCCTGGAGAAATGTATAATCTGCATGAGGAGGACTGTGGGCACCCGGGCAGCTGGGCACAGACCACAGGAGGGTCCAAGCTGTGGGTGGCATCCAAGCATCAGGGACCTCTGGGAGGACCCAGGCCTGGCCTCTGCTGGGGCTCCCGGGGCGGCCCCATGGCCGCAGGGGGTCTGAGTAGACACCTGGAGTGGGGAAGGACAGCACAGGGACCCACTGAAGACGACGTGCCACCCATAGGGGAGGGCTGGGCAGCTGAGGGACGTGGAAGACCTTGGGGAGCCTGGCTGGAAGTTTAACCATCACATGAAGGTGCAAGTGGCTAAGGGAGTCACAGATCCGCTCGCTGTGCTCTGGGGGCAAGGCCAGGGCCCCCCTTAGCAGGATGGACAACATTTCCACTTGGTCTGGGGGCCAGAGCACCCTGGACGTGCCCGGTGGGAATGTCCACCATCTCCTGGACATGCACTGCCCTCGGGGAGGAGGTCAGCTCACCTGCCGCCTGGCGAAATAATCCTTCACTAGAGAGCCCATGATCTGTTGAGGAGACTTGGCGGTGCACAGGTGGGGGGTAACGGGGTGGCCCAGCACCCGTTCGGCGTATCGGACCCAGCCTGGGGAGAGAGCGGGCCCGTCAGCTCCTCACAGTGGCTTCCTCCTCCTTCCCATCACACACAGGAGAATTGAGCGCCCAGACCCCGTCACCTGGGCCTCACACCTCTTCCTTCGACCTCCAGGGAATTCACGGCAGCTCCCTGGCCAAGCCGCTTTTCCTCAGCACCCCAGGCCATGGGGACCCTAGGTGCACACACCCTAGATGGGAAGATGCCCCTGCCGGCCCGACCAGAGGATGGAGGGGAAGGACGTGTAAACCATGTAGCGGGTCCCCCCAGAGAGGAGGACAAGCTTGGAGGAGCAGCCCTGAGGCATCTTCCCAGGGCCGCGGCCCCACTCCCCCGTGGGCTGCGAAGCTCTTCTGCTGCCAGCAGCCACGCTCCGATGCAGCAACAGCCACAAAGCCCGCCCAGCTTCACTCACCTACTGGAAGTTAACAGGCAACCACTGCCCACTTTTCAAGGCAGTGACCTAAGCAGACGTCCGCCCCCAGCGACGGCGAGCAGAGCGCCAGCACACTCGCTCTACGCCGCCGGAGGGGCCAGCAGGCAGCGAGCACTTCCTGAGCTGCTGGGGGCCACTGTGCCCTCCGGGGTCAGCCCTGCTGCTGTGGTTCCCACAGGGAACACGGGCCAGAAGACTGCGGGGGCCAGAGCTCGCACCCTTCTCCTGGGCACAGCCGGGTGAGAGGCAGAGCACATGGGGACGCCTGCTGACTGATGTCGTGGGGCGGACAGCCACCGAGTGACAAGCTGCTCCTCAGCCAGGGACAGCCAGCCACCTCCCCGGGACCACTCCTCGCCGGGAGGAGCAGCAGGCGCCAGTCAGATGACGTGACAGTCCCGTCTGAACAAACTCAAATGGGAGCCATCACCTGCACGCAGGCCTGAGTGCGCGGCTAACGTCTGCGGTGACCCACAGGAGCCCCTAGGCCCGAGGTCACCAGAGGGACTCTCCTTATCCCATGCCTCTCAACATTAAAAATGAAGAATTACCAAAAACGGTGGAGCCTTTGGGGGCCCGAGGCCCCTCCCACCACGGGTGCGGCCCAGTAAGGCCCCAGCCTGCACCTGTAGACACGGCTCTCGGGCAGATGGCATCTGTGCTGCGGGTGCTGAGGGCAGGCCGCTGTGTGCCGGCTGGGGGACCAGCAGGGACGTGGAGGAGGAACCAGGGCCCAGGGCGCCCCACATCTCTAACCACACAGGGTAGCACTTCCCCGAGGACCTCTGACCTAGAGCTCGACACAGCCCACGCCAGTCCTCACGGAGACGCGGCCGCGGGTTCACAGCAGCACGGATGTGACAACAGCATCCGCGTCCTTCCTTGTAAACAGCTGACCCCCCGCCCCCGCCCGCTGGCCATCCTGATGGGACGGGATAGGGGGATGTACCCAGAGAGGTGGCCTGGCACCAGGCACCCAGGAGCTCTGCAGGTATTCTGCGGGGCACCGGGCAGAGATAACCCCCACAGGAGACATTCCATCCCTGTGTGCACAGCAAGAGCTCCCCAACACCAGGAGCCCGCGTGACAAGGCCATGCCCAGAGGGCCAGCATGGGATCACCCATGGCCCCGTCTGCCACGTCGCATCCTCTGACCCTGAGGTTGCTCTCATTTCCTTGCATTGTTGTAGAACAATGTGGATTTTGACAAGGTTTAGTTTTGAACCAAGTCTCACCTCATGTCCCTGAATCTGACATGCTTGGGTATAAAGACCTCCTGAAGCAAAGTGCATCACCTAGGAAGAACATTCTAGAAGCTCGAAAGCTACGCGTAAACAGACTTGGACAGCTCATACCCTGGATGGGGCAAGGATCATCAAGTGGGGGGGTGGCCAGTCTGCACCGGGCAGGGGCTGAGTGGGGGGCTCCAGGGTGGGCCTGCTGGGGTCCCTCCCAGCGCCCCGCTCCCTCCTGATCTAGGACGCCCAGTGGCTTGGGCTGTGACCTCTGGCCTCACCCACCTCCGCTCCTGCCCCCAACACGGACCCGTGAAACACGGTGCCTTCAGCGAACGGAGGCGCGCGACGGCCCCAAGTGCTCACCTGGACAGGCGGAGGTGAGCATGGGCAGCGCGGGCTCTTCCTCGCTGTGCTGCTGGTATCGACGCACGAACTCCTTCTGACTCTCCAGGATGCTGAAATCCGCGGCTATTGTTGTATCGAACACATAGTGCACCCCTGCAGGAAAGAGGGCTGCGTTCAGCTTCCCGTCACCTCACGTGGGACCCCCTGCCAAAGTCTGCGGGCTCCGGACCAGACTTCACGGGCGGGTCCAGGGCACCCCGGCCTAGCTGCTCAATCTCGCCTCCTTTCCACCACGAACCGCAGAAGCCCAGGACTGTGTCTTACCTCCTCCTTCAAACAATAAACATGGGTCGTTTCTCAACAAGAAAATACGTATGTTTTCCCTCGTGCTCTCTCTACGTCTACACGTACATAAACACCTCACAGTGGCCATAAAATTAATGGAAGGTTACAAGGTACCACACACGCTCTTCTGTCAGCGGTTAAATTCCAGTCTGTGAGGATCCTTGAATCTTTGAAATAAAAGAAGTCAGTAAATTGGCAGACCATACTTTTCTGATGGCCTAATTTTTATGATTTGTAACTAGTTTTTCTTTTTTAAGCCATCTTTTAAAAAATAATATCATAGGGCAGCCCGGGTGGCTCAGTGGTTTGGCACCGCCGTCAGCCCAGGGAGTGATCCTGGAAACCCAGGATGGAGTTCCGCATCGGGCTCCCTGCATGGGGCCTGCCTCTCCCTCTGCCTGTGTCTCTCATGAATGAATGAATGAATGAATGAATGAATGAATCTTTAAAAAATACTATTTTAAAAGTTTTTTTTTAAAGTTTTTTTAAAAAATTTTTTTACTTGAGACAGAGAGAGAACATGAACAGGGGGAGCAACAGAGAGAGAGAGGGAGAAGCCAACTCCCCTCCCACTCCCCTGAGCAGGGAGCCCGACTCAGGGCTCAATCCCAGGACCCTGGGATCATGACCAGAGTGAAGGCAGAGGCTTAATCACCCAGGTGCCCTATTAAGCTACTTTCTAGCATTTTTTTTTAAAGATTTTATTTATGATAGAGAGAGAGAGAGGCAGAGAGAGAGAGATGCAGAGACACAGGCAGAGGGACAAGCAGGCTCCATGCAGGGAGCCCAACGTGAGACTCGATCCTGGGTCTCCAGGATCAGACCATGGGCTGAAGGCAGAGCTAAACCACTGAGCCATCCAGGGTGCCCTCCTCTAGCATTTTTTAAAAGAGATTTTATTTATTTGTGAGACAGAGAGCGAGAGCCGGGGGGTGGGGGACTGGGTGCAGAGGGAGGAGCCTGATGTGGGACTAGACCCCATGACCCCGAGATCATGACCTGAGCTGAAATCAAGAGTTAGAAGCTTAACCAACTGCAAAACTCAGGGACTTCTTTTTTTTTTTTTAATTTTTAAGTTAATTAATTTATTTATGATAGAGAGAGAGAGAGGCAGCGACACAGGAGGAGGGAGAAGCAGGCTCCATGCCGGGAGCCCGATGCGGGACTTGATCCCGGGACTCCAGGATCGCGCCCTGGGCCAAAGGCAGGCACCAAACTGCTGAGCCACTCAGGGATCCCCGAGAGACCTCTTTTTATCTAACTTTTAAAAATAAATTTTTCTGGGGCACTTGGGTGGCTCAGTGGGTTAAGCATCTGCCTTCAGCTTGGGTTATGATCTCAGGGTCCTGGGCTCAAGCCCCACATTGGGCTCCCTGGTCAGGGCAGAGTCTGCTTCTCCCTGTGCCTCTGTCCCTCCTTCTGCTTGTATTCTCGTGATTTATCTCACATAAATGACATTTTTAAAAAATACATTTAAAAAAATAAGTTTTCTTAACACTGGCACATAAGCCTGAACCAAAACAATATACTTTTAATAATTACAACAAAGTAAATTTAAGAGCTTTAATACCTGTACCCAGTGCAAATCTTAAAATTTAAGATTAAGTTAAATTAAATTAAAATTAATTTTTCTTAAAAAGAAACGTTATAAAATGTAAGTATCATCTTAACACATAAGGGCCAACTCTTTACTTAAAAAATTCATCCCCAAAATAGGGCCTTTCAGTACGAGAAGTGAGAGTATCTAGGAACTTTTTGGTCTTTGGTAAAGCCCAGCTGCCCTGAAGCTTCTTCAGATCACGAGCACGAGGAATGACTGCCCCACGCTCGTAGCCGTGGCCGTCTGGAAGCAGGCAGCGAGTGGAGAAGCCACTCCACCCAGCGCTCCAAGGAGCAGAGGCTATGTTTATTCTAAGGGTCCCCTTATTAGTAAGCCCCCATGTGGTTAGGTCTTCAAAAGCCACTGTAGGGGCGGCTGGATGGCTGTCAGGTAAGCATGTGACTCTTGGTTTCAGGTCAGGTCGTGATCTTGGGATCCTGAGATCGTCTCTCTCCCTCTGCCCCTCCCTCGGCTCACGTGATCACACACACGCTCTTTTTGCCTAAAATATATACATCCTAACGAAAGAACCCACTGCAAAAAAACCAGAAACTCATGTGAGCAAGTATCTCCAGTTCTCATGTTTGAGAGGGAGGACCTTCCTTTGTGCACAGGACACTGCCCGTCCTCTCTCTGCTCTTCGGAGATCATCCTGGGAAACCAGATGCCAATCGTCTTGCAGACGTGATGCTCTAGCATCTGCCAGATGCCATCTGTGGGCCCTGGGAGCCCGGGCAACACCGTACTCCTCAGCGAGCGCAGGAGCCACCTCCACGTCCCCAGCCACCCCATCACGTGCTGCCCCTGGACGGCCAGCCACAGACAGCACAAGACACTCGTCCGCACAGCAAGGGGGGAAGGGAGGCCCGACGCCTGCGGGTCAGCGGCAGGGTCTGAAGTCCCTGTCCCTGCTGTGCCCTGGGGAGCTGAACTCTGCAGATACGAAGGGCAGCCATAAGCTGGCCTTGTCAACTCACAACAATATCAAGGCGCCTCACCAAGACTTTTGAGGAAGCCGCAGAGTCTTCTGGAAGCATCAGTCACACTGAGGCGGAATTTGGCAGCAAAGTAAGGCAGAGACTGAGGGCACACCGACACTGCCAGCACCTTGTGCTGTGAAGGGTCACATTTCTGGGGGAACAGAGAAGAGGGTCAGATGCGGCTGAGCAGTGATGGAAGTCGGCCACACGGGTGTAGCACGTGTCCTCTGAAAGACTGGTAGGTAGCACATACCTGCACTAGCAAGTGACGAGAAAGAAATGGGAAAAAATTAGGATGAAAAGGTGTGACATCCCAAAAGATTCTGTCAATTTTTTAAAGACAATATTCTATCAATAAGTGCCAATGCCTGGATGAAAGTGGGTAACTTTAAGAGGAAAATAAATATTACAATATTGGCCCATAAATAACTGAAATGACCCTACAATGATTAAAACCACTCATACGCCAATATACGTCAATTAAAACAGAATACAGACACTGAAACAGCATCTAGAATCTGTCCCCAAAGAGGCTGCAATTCCAGCTCAGTAGGGCAAACCATAGGATGCACGTTTCTTTTAAAGAGAAAGGAGAGAGACCCTGAAGCGGGCTCCTGTTCAGCACGGAGCCTGACACAGGGCTGTGACCCCACGACCCTGAGATCATGACCCGAGCCGAAACCAAGAGTCAGACGCTTAACCGACTGAGCCACCCGGGCGCCCTAAACTGTGGGGTATTTTTAAGGAGCGGATCATTCTCACCTCCTATAAACGGTTCTAAAGGATCCCGTACGAACACGGAACAAGGCTGTCAGCACCCTGTAACCCAAAGTAATACTGGCAGCTCAAGAAATCCCTAGGAAAGTCTGAACAACTCATCACCAACACAAGGGACGGAAGGCAGGAGCAGCTTGGGCCAGGTCGCCGGTTAGAGAGCCTCCCACGCGACCTCCGAGCTGGAGCTTAGGGCAGACACCAGGTTCCCGCGATGGAGCTGCGCGGTCAGACGCCGCCCGGTCGGTAAAGGGGAGGCCCCGACAGTGGTGTTTGGGGGGCTGAGGACTGGGCTGCTCAGCGAGGGAGCCCCCACCCTTGGCCCGGGACGCGCAGGCCCAACTGGATGTGGGGAAGGGGTGGGACTCCCGCCTCCGAATCACCCCACAGAAACGTGGAAGCAGGGATCCGGGTGGGAGTCCCAGCCGCTGACAGAGGAGGCAGCTCCGGGCACCTGACGCCGGGCTCCCTCTGCCTGCGTCCCCGGGGTCTCCAGGCCTCACTCTGCTCTCTCAACGTGCCCTCCTCTGAGGGAGCCGCTCTGGGAGCGGCAGGGCGTTGGCCTGAGCCCAGGGCCGCGGCGCAGGCAGAGAACGGGAACCTGGTGGCTGCCTCACCCCGCCGGAGCGTCCCCTGCTTCTAGGCTCATGAAATAACCATTTCCTCATTGTTTATACCGGTCTGAGTTGGGAACCCACCTTCTGCAGCCGAAATGTGGATTGGTGTGCACCTGCCAGAAGGGTCTGCAAACATCTACTCAATAGTTAAACTTTATAAGCATTTCCACTGACGTTGACTCAGGCGTCAGCGTGGGGGGGGGGCGCTGAGCTGCCTGACAAACGAGCCGAGTTCGTTCCCTGCAGTAAGACAGGGAGAGCCACTTTGCTCAGAGAAGGACGAGGAGCAGGTGGGGACCCCTGGGGAACCCGACCACCAGGAGGCAACAGACACACCAGCGACAGCGGAAGGTCGTGCATTGCTCTCTGACGCCGGGACCTCTAAGTGCTGGAGGACGCGTCCAGGAACAGACCCCAGGGGTGGCGGCCCACCACGTAAACCCACGCTCCTCACGGATCTGCCTCGCTCCGGCACCCCGAGTGTTACGAGAGGCGGGGGAGCGCCCGTGGCGCCTGCACGGCTGTGCGCCGGGTGGGGTGCGGAGGGCTTCCCAGGAAGTGGCCGTGAGCGCGAGGGGAAATGCTTTTCGGCCCCTCTGCCTCACTTGCCCTTTCACCTGTGCTTCTGTCAGTAAAGCCACTGGCCACGGCTGAGCGGCACGGGTCTAGAGGACAGCCGAGGGAGCACAGCCGAGGGAGCACAGCCTGACAAGCCCCTCGCACCAGAGCCCCGCCTCTGGGAACAGATGAGGCATCCTGCCTCCCGCCACGTCGGTGAGGAAACCGGCGCCCGGGTGGGGGCTCTGGACAGGGTTCACCCCAGCGAGGGCCAAGCCGTGTGCCCTGGGCCCCAGCAGAGGCCTCCGCGCCTCACGCCACCCCCAGGGCCACCAAGCGCCCGGAAGCCCTACCTTATTGAGGTTCAGAACTCGAAAGAAGTCCTTGACGTTCTGCTGAGAAACCTGGAGTCCCTCCTCCGCGGTCACACAGCTGTCACACGCCAGGCAGTCGCTCAGAAATATCTTGGCATCAGCCAACTTATGGAATTCTCCCTTCTACAAAAGAAAGAGGTTTTCATCTAATTCTTCAGTAGAAACTCTAACGCGTGCTCCTCTAGGGAGAATGTTAGCACAAGAGCAACACAGAATGCGGACGAGGGTCACCCTGGGCAACACAGAGCCAGGCCTGGAGCTCCGGATACCGCAGTTGCACAGAACAGACCACAGTGACACCAAGGAGGGACACAGGTGACACGCCAGGGTGGGAGCAGGACAGCGCTGTCACGTGGTGGGAAGAAATCCACATGCCTGAGTCCGGGGAGCTGGCCCGGCTCCCCTGCTCGCTGTCCCCTCTGTCGCCCGGGGACTCCCACTCTCAGCCCTCTCTGTACCCCCCTGGGGAGCCCACCTAGGCCCGTGGCTCCCCAGGGAAGCTGCAGCCCATCTCAGGAGGTCTGCACACACCCCGGGGTGGCCAGAGCTGTCACTCAGAGGGTCTGGAGCACGTGGCCTGGCACACGCCTGGGGCCTAGTACCTGCTGCTGGGCTGCGCTGAGAATCCTGGCCCTGGGTCCCCGCAGGGGCGTCCGTGAGCCCAGTCTGCATGGTTCCCAGCACGACTTCCTCAGGCTCTCCTGGGCCAGACCCCCTCCCACCTGGCCTGCTCCTCCCGCCTCCTACACATGTGCCAGCGCCCCCACTGCCAACAGCTCTCCAACCTCACCTCCAGCGGAGCTCGTTCCCTTCCCAGGCTCCGGGAAGCTCTATCTGGACCGCCAACTGCCCCCAGCGTCCCGCACTGTACGCGCCCTCCTGCCTTCAGCACTGGTGTGTCTGCCCAGGCCCCCCTTGCCCTGTCTCCCTGGTCCTGTCCTTCACTCTCCCCTGCTCGAGCCTCCCCCGACATAGGCTCTGTCCACACCTCCCCCATGCCTGGTGCGTGCACCCCGCCCCTGAGCTACTCACCCTACTGGGGTGCCGCCCACTGTGCTGGCAGGGCGCTGCTGAGGCTGTGCGCACATCTTATCTGCACCACCACAGCCCTGGGAGGGAAGTAACCCAACTCCCCAGGTCACTGATAAGGAAACGGGGGCCCCAGGGTTTAGATGTCTGTCCTAGGGGATGTGGCCAGAGGGCAGGTGGGGGAGGTGCCAGGCACTCCCTGCCTTTTCTGCCTTTGCGCCCTGGTGCCGGTCACATCTGCGGCTTTCCCGGCCCTACCGCTGCCAGGGCACAGGACACAAGAGGGGAGAGATCGGTTCCTGTCAGGATGACCAGACTAAAGAGAAACCTGCGGCTGTTTGTCCCACGGTGCCTGCACTCCACTAGTGGTCAGGACCAGTCCTTTCCAAGGGAACAGTGACCTCTGCTACCCAGCAAACGTAAACCATCCCTACTAGCTAAGGACAACTTAAACTCTCAAGAACTCAGCTAGGGAAGAAACCACTAGAAAAATAAACTTACGGACCACGAGATCTGAATTATTTTATAGATTATCTTCCTAAACTCCCGTTTTACAGAACGGAATTTTTCATTAAAAAAAAAAAAAAAAGGAGATTTAGGGCACCTCAGCAGTTGAGCATCTGCCTTTGGCTCAGGGCGTGACCCCGGGGTCCCGGGATCGAGTCCTGTGTCGGGCTCTCTGCATGGAGCCTGCTTCTCCCTCTGCCTGTGTCTCTGCCTCTCTCTCTCTCTCTGTGTGTGTGTCTCTCATGAATAAATAAAGTTCTCAAAAAATTAAATTTAAAAAATGGAGATTAACTATTGTAACATTATTTTTAATAAATGACTAAAGATAATATTTTTCTTTTTTTTTTAAGACTTATTTTTATTTAATCATTTGAAAGAAAGAGCGTGCAAGAGCACAAGCAGGGGGAGAGTCAAAGGGAGAAGCAGACTCCCTGCTGAGTAGGGAACCCGATGTGGGGCTCAATTTCAGGGCCCGAGATCATGACCTGAGTTGAAGGCAGACGCTGCACCGAAGGCCCCCCAGGCGCCCCCTTTTTCTTTGTTCTTCACGTAGTTTGTTTTGGCGTGGTGTATTCTGCGAAGACTTGCTCTCGGGCCCTTCTGTCTCAAAGGTCATGTGCTTACGAATGACCATCCTGCATACCCGCGGCCCCTGGCAGGGACATCACTACAGCATCTTCTTTCTTAGGGCAACGATGTGACATCACTACAGCATCTTCTTTCTTAGGGCAACGATGTGCAGGGGACATGACCCCACCAAGAGGACAAAAAACAGCCACAGCGTTTACCCCAGGCTAATGCAAAACTGAGAAATCACTTGCCTCTGCATGGTCCTGGGCCAGGCTCGGTACGCCGACTGACGCATTCTCTTGGTCCTCGGTCTTTGTTTTCTTATTACATTCCTTGATAAAGCAAAGGAACATATAAAAGTACGACTTTTAACCTGACTCTCTCAACTTAGAAAGGTGTATACGTAGGCTCTGAACCATTCACCTCCTGCACAGACATCTTTTCTACAGAAACAAAAGCGCCTGGACTTGTGGACACACACGCACATCCTCCTCTATCCGTGTCCTTGCAGTAACTGAAAACTAGAAGTAACGGGGCCTTCCACCAACAGGTAAATTAACACCGACAACCGGGACACCTGTTAGACTACAATGAATGAACGAATTGTGTGTGATGCTCTGAAAATGTATTTCCCTATAATGTTAAGTAAAAAAAAAAAAAAAAAGCGGGGGGGGGGAGAATGATGGAATATTTATGTAATCCAACTTTTCGAAAAATAAAATAGGGGCAGCCCTTGTGGCCCAGTGGTTTAACACTGCCTTCGGCCTGGGGTGTGATCCTGGAGACCCGAGATCGAGTCCCACACTGGGCTCCCTGCATGGAGCCTGCTTCTCCCTCTGCCTCTCTCTCTCTCTGTGTCTGCCATGAATAAATAAGATCTTTAAAATAATCATAATAATAATCCCCGTTCCTCGCCGAATGGCTCTTTATGTTATCAGAGCCTAGGAGCAAGGGTGGAAGGCGACCGCGGTTACCATGGTTACCCAGGTGGAGCCAAGGACCAGCTCCCGTCCTCCCTACCTTCCTGTTCTGTCACTATGATGATGTAAGTCGCATAAACACTCCTCAAAAAACATGTTTTGACGATTATTTTAATCATCCACATCCAGAACAGTGCTCGCTGCGGCTGCCCTGAGTGGTTACTCAGGTTGGTTCGCTTTACCGGTTCGCTGGTGTTTCTTTTGGCTTCAAAAATATTTTGAAAGGACAGACAAGTGCACCGAGAACCGGAAAGAGCAAGCGTGGGCCCAAATGTAACGTGACCCCGGGGCACCTGGAAATGCACCCGCAGGTGCAGGAGCACCGGGGCATCTGGCAGGTGCAAGTGTCCGCGGCTTACAGGCCACCCGCGGTCGCGCTCTACCCACTGGAACCAGGACTGAGCCCGCGAGGTGACGAGGTGGCCCGGACGCACAGGGGCCGGGAGCGGCCGATCCCAGAGCCGGGGACCGGGGGACGGGGTGACCCGGGGGACCGCGCCGCGGCCGGCACCGCCCGCTCGGGGCTCCAGGGTTCCGGGAGGCCGGTGACCGCAGGCAGCGCCGCCCCCGACCGCGACCTCCCGACTCCGACCAGCCCCGCCCCCGCCCCGCCCGGGCCAAGCCCCTGACCCGACCGGGACCGGGACCGGAACCGGGACCCGGACCCGGCCGACCCCCGGCCCCCAGCAGCCCCGCCCGCCGCCGCGAGCGCGCGGGGCGCACCTTCCGCGTGCAGTGCTCACACTTCATCTGGAGCGGGGCAGGCGCGGGGCCACGGCTCGGCCTCTGAGCAGCTCCGGGAGACTCGGTCACGGACGCCCGGCGCCCGCCGCCCTTTGTTGTAGTCACCCCCGGCGCGGCCCCACCCCCGGCGGCTGCGCTCCACCAATGAGAGCGTCGGGAAGGGGCGGGTCACAACCCGAAACCAATAGGAGCGCAGAAGGGGCCGGTGCGGCTCCCGCCCACATGTCTCCGCCTGGACCAATGACAGCCGCAGGAAGGGGCGGGCCGGGCCCCGGAGCCAATCGGAGCGCGCGGGGGCGGAGTGCGGCGGACACCTGGAGGCCCGGCGGGTCCCCGCGCACTTTTGGCGGCTCGTGGGTCGGGGGCGGCACGGCGCCCCCGGACGGACTCTCTCTAGGAGGCGACCCGGCGTGGCCCTGGGGCGTCTGGCCCGGCAGCGCGGCTGCACCTCACGCCTGTCCCAGGCTCCGCCAGGCCACCGCCATTGCCGCCTGGAGGCGCGTCACGTAGGCCAGGCAGGTGGCCGTGCGCATGCGCGCATGGGCACCACGTGGCGCCTCGAGGATGCTGCGAGGTGGGTGTGAAGTCCGGGCGCGCCCCGCCGGGGAGCTCGGCGGGTGTGCGGGGGGTCGGGCGCTGGCTTCGCAAATCGCCAGTAGTTATTATTTTCTTGGTAAAATGGCACCGCTTGCAGGGCTAAAGCGAAAATGTTTGATTTGTAATAATTTAAAGGAACATTTTATCAAGTCAGTGTCTGCGCTTTGCAGGGTGATTGGGAATGTGAAGAACGCATCGGAAAGCTCCATGGAGGGATCCCTGGGGGGCGCAGCGGTTTGGCGCCTGCCTTTGGCCCAGGGCGCGATCCTGGAGACCCGGGATCGAGTCCCACATCGGGCTCCCGGTGCATGGAGCCTGCTTCTCCCTCTGCCTGTGTCTCTGCCTCTCTCTCTCTGTGACTATCATAAATAAATAAATAAAAATTAAAAAAAAAAAAAAAGGAAAGCTCCATGGAGCGTAAGGAAAGCAACTGGTGACCTTGAAAATAAAGTTGCCTCGCCTTTTGGTAGCAAAACGGGTTCCCGGGGAAGTAGAGGATTGCAGTCCAGACCACAAGCCATCTGCACCCAAGCCATAGGCGAGTCTGGGGCACAGAGAGGAAAGTGGGTGCAGGAGAGCAGAAGCTCCTCGAGGCTGAGCTGGGGCTGCCTCTCGCTGGCTGGAGGAGACCCAGGGGCCTCCTGCTGGGGTGACCTTGTGCTTAGCTGGGCTGTGTCCGCAGGTTCCTGCTGGGTGTGCAACTGCGAGCGGGTGGGCGAGAGCTCCCCCTGCCTGCCCCCTCCGCGTCCTAAAGAAAGTTTCCTTGACCCCGTTTCATAGTTTACAGTACTCGGTACAGCTGTTTACAATTGCATGAGTGAAACGCAGGAGGTCTTCATTGTTGCCAGACTAACCCCTGCTTAACTCAAATCTACGTGGCACCTCTCAGAAAACACATTCCTTCCATTTTCAGCAGATAAGAAGATAAATTTAGGTTGTCGTTTGTATGTATTTCTTGCCATTGTTTTAGAAACGTAACCACAGCACCATGATCATGTGTGAAAACAAATTACAATGACTTTAATTATTTAATTTCATCAAATACGTAGTGCCCAGGTTTCCCTAAATTGAACCTCGTTATTTTTTTTTAACCTCTTTAAAAAAATTAAATCAGGACCTGTATAAGGTCCAATATGTTTATCGCTTTGTTGTGTTTATGTTTTTTATTTTTTTTTAAAGATTTTATTTATTTATTCATGATAGTCACAGAGAGAGAGAGAGAGAGAGGCAGAGACACAGGCAGAGGGAGAAGCAGGCTCCATGCAGGGAGCCCTACGTGGGATTCGATCCGACCTAGGATCGTGCCCCGGGCCAAAGGCAGGCACCAAACCGCTGCACCACCCAGGGATCCCTCTTATGTTTCTTTTAAAAGATCGTTTTTTGTTCTAAAGTAATTTGAGGCTCACTTAGGAGTTGCAAAGACACCACAGAGTTCCTAGTCTGAAGGCATCCGCATCACTCTCTGTTGTTGCACATCAAGCAATCAAGTGGTTTGGCTGTAGGGCTTCCAAGAATTGCTGATGCATCCTTGTGGAGTCCTTAGTAAACCCTTGCCCTCTGAATTTCCAGTAGCGTAGAACGATGCCTGGGTGGCTCAGAGGTGGAGCGTCTGCCTTCAGCTCAGGGCGTGAACCCGGGGTCCTGGGATCGAGTCCCACATCAGGTTCCCTGCAGGGAGCCTGCTTCTCCCTCAGCCTGTGTCTCTGCCTCTATCTCTCATAAATAAATAAATAAATAAATAAATAAATAAATAAATAAATAAATAAATAAATAAAATCTTTAAAAAAATGTTCTCATGCCTTGTTTGAATAGTAAATTTTTTGGCAAGACTGTTCCATAGATGTGTAATTCTATCAGGAGGTTGCACTAACTCCTTTCTGTGATACTAATTAGCGCCCATTGATAAAACTGCATATGTCCATTCATTCATGATAGCAATGCTTTAATCCTACCATTTTAAAAAATTTACTAGCAGGAATACTTACATAATGAGAAATTTCTCTCATTCGCTATTTGATTACTCTGCTGTACATTTTATAAAGAAAGGCAAGATGAATGCATAAACTGGCCAAAAAAATCCAAGTTCCTTTCTCAGCATCCTCAGGAAGTGAACAAAGAACTTAAAAATAGGGACGGCTGAGTGGCTCAGCAGTTGAGCATCTGCTTTCCGCTTGGAGCATGATCCCAGATCCAGGGATCAGAGTCCCACATCAGGCTCCCTTCAGGGAGCCTGGTTCTCCCTCTGCTTGTGGCTCTGCCTCTCTCTGCATCTCAGTAAATAAATAAAATCTAAAAGAAAAAAAACTTAAAAACATATCATTATGCATTACGGACTTTGGGGGCACCTGGGTGGCTCAGTCAGTTGAGTATCTCAGCTCAGGTCTTGATCCAGGGTTGTGAGTTCAAGCCCTGTGTTGGGCTCCACACTGGGCATGAAGCCTACTTAAAAAAATATATATGGATTTAAACGCTTGGAGATTTTCAGTTCATTTGAATTATTGATGCTCACATTTTTTTTTTTTTGCATAGAAAATCTCTTCAGCTAGGCTCCAAATTTTTTTGAGAAGATGCTAGATGCTAACAGTCACTTTGCTTTTTGATAAATTTGCTTCTACATTTCCTGCTTTAGACTTGAAATCAATCTTTTCTCCAAAAAGCTTGGTTTCTTTAGTAGGAATTGGTATTTAAAAACCAGAGAATGGATATAAAATTGCTCCTTGCTACTGCATTGATTGTTGTTTCTCGGACTTTTCAGTGGACAGCATAAAGAAAGGTGTATTTTTTAAAGTGAAATTACTGTGAACTCACACTGGTCCTTCTAAGTCAAATCCAGGAATACAGGGCTCTAATTAATTGGCCTCATTGACCTCACATCCATTACTTCCTGTTCGAAATTCCTGGTTCCCAGTACCACCTACTTAACGTACTCATTTGCATGGTCTTATATCACCCACATAAAAAGTCTCAGACTAACAATGTTAACTAAGTCTACTATCCGGAATAAAAATACCACATTTTACATATTATGTTTCAATATATATTTGCATCCTCTAAACTTTTTTTTTTAACATTTTATTTATTCATTTGACGAGGGCACAAGCAGGGGGAGCAACAGAGGCAGAAGCAGACTCCCCACTGAGCAGGGAGCCTGATGCAGGACTCAATCCCAGGACCCTCGGATCATGACCTGAGCTGCAGGCAGACGCTTCACCAACTGAGCCACCCAGGCACCCTTGTATGCTCCCCTTCTTAAATGATAGTGTCTTACGGAAGTTTCTTCATCTTGCTTTTATCTTTCAACAGTATGTGCTGGAGAATGTGCTATAGCAACATACAGAGATATTCCTCCTTCCTTTTTCATAGTTGCATAACACCCTCTGTGTGGATGTATGTATTTGACAGGGTCCAATCAAGAGAGAAAAAGCACACTATAATTTGAACAGAGTTTAATATAAAGAATTATTAGCAATAACTAGGGAATGGAGTAAGGGATTGGGCAGTAAGGAGAAATGAGTCTATAGGGTCACCTGGGTCTGCCTTTGGCTCAGGTCATAATCCCAAGGTCATGGGATCAAGTCCCATTATCAGGCTCCCTGCTCAGTGGGGAGCCTGCTTCTCCTTCCCCCTGTACCTCCACACTGCTCGTGCTCTCTCTTGCTCTCTCTGAAATAAATAACATCTTTACAAAAGAAGTGAGATTATAAAGATTGCAAGAATAGTAAGAAACAAAGAGTAGCCACAGTCATCTCATCCAGGGCTATGACAGCGAGGAGCCCACTCTGTCCACAGAGTTGAGATCTAGACTGTTGGATCTAGACCCACTTTTGGCTCGCTGGGGGACAGAGAACTTGTCCAACGCTGCACTGGTGGGACATGCTGGAAATCCTCCCTACAGGGTGCTGGGGAAAGGTTTTTTTCACAGCTAACAGACAATGGTTAGCATCATGCCAGAGACCACACAAAAAAATAGAAGACTCAAATCCATTTTCATGGATCAGGCACAGAGCTGTGAATTTAGAGCTGAGATATAATGTGTTGATAATTGGCACGATTTACAATTTTATTCATTCAGTCCCCTATTTATGGATATTGTATTTCCAGTCTTGCTATTGCCAATATTCACGATTTTAACCAAATTGTCACTTGTTCACACGTTTAACATTTGTTAAGAGTCCAGTACAGGCTTCATTTTTAAATAGCTTATAATCTAGTAGAAAAGATAAAATTGGGCAACCCTGGGTGGCTCAGCGGTTTAGCGCCGCTGGCAGCCCGGGGTGTGATCCTGGAGACCCAGGATCGAGTCCCATGTTGGGCTCCCTGCATGGAGCCTGCTTCTCCCTCTGCCTGTGTCTCTGCCTCTCTGTGTGTGTGTGTGTGTGTGTGTGTGTGTCTATGAATAAATAAAATCTTAAAAAAAAGAATGCAAGTAAGTGTAACAAAGTAGAATTTCCTGGGTCTCCTCTCAGTTCTACCTAAATCCTGAGGAATAAAATCACTTCCAGCTACAG